GTGGCTGTGGCTGCGGCGGTGGCGGCGGTGGCTGAGGTGGCTGTTGCTGCTGCAAGGGATCCAACATGACTCCTGACTTTCTACCATTGATGCTCGAGCTCTCGTAAGATATCACACCTTCATTCAACGAGGAAGAAATGCTTTCACTCTGGGAATTCACAGCATCCCAATCTGACGTTGTACCCGTGTGACACTGTTTGTGAGCCCCAAGTTTTAACGAGCTCTTGCAAGTAAACGGACATTCATCACATTTGTAGACAGCTATCTTTCCAGATAAGTGGATATTTTCAATGTGACGAGAGATGCTACGTCGATGCATGGTGAGGAAAGGACAAAAGGGGCACTGGAACCTATTCATGAATCTTCTAAACGGTATCCCCTTGGTCTCCAACAATTTGTTGCCGTCTGAACCCATCAGCTGCTCTGCAGACAGACCTGATGTCTGGTGATCCATAGAATTTAAACCATTCTCACTGTCTATTTCATTTAACTCTTCATCAGAACTAGAGTCATTTAGCATGCTGTTAGTTTCCAGATCAGTAGAAGAATTTGTCATGTCAGACATTCCGTAACGGGATCTTTCTGCCAAGTTAACAAGGCCAGAATTATGAGGTGATTTCGGCTTCATCTGAGGGTAAGACATGGGAGAAAACTTGGAAGCTGAAGAAGAATTGGGTCTCATGACAGAATTTCCAATGGAGCCCCTGAAGTTGGAGATATTAGCGTTGGGTATCTCCCGGCTTGCAGAATTCATGGACAGATAGGTGGAGTTGGAAGGGGGGCTGGGGGCACTCTTGTTCTGCACGTCGGGTAGATTAGTCCCTTCTTGTTGCTGTCGGAGGCTAGAAAGGATCTTGACCATACTCCGGTGCTTCTTCATCATGTGGTCACACCAGCGTTCTCGGCGGGGAGTGTGATAGCTGCACCATTCGCAACAAAAGTTGCCTCGAGACTTGGTCAAAGGCTTGACCATGGACTCTAAGATGCTACGCTCCACGACCTCTGCGGGCAGTTCCTTGCACGGGTCCTGCAGGGACATGGACGGAACCACAGGGTCTGGCATCAGAGCAGGGGCAGGGGGGGTAGCAGTGGTCTCCTTCAAATTGTTTTTGTGATACATCTTCTGATGCTTAATTATTCTTGCCCTCCTTGGAGACTTGTACGTGCAAAACTGGCAAGAGAAGACCTTTCCAAATCCCTCGTGCATCATGATATTGTAATTTAAGGATCCTGGAACAGGAGGTCCCGCCGAACTCCCTTCAGCTTGTGCTCCATGGACCTTCCTAGTATGTTCTATGAGGAGGTTTTTTGACCTGAAGTAGCGTACGCAGAACTTGCACTGAAAAAACTTGTTTGTTGGTTTGGGATTAGGGGCAATATGCTGACCGTAATATCCTGGACTGTGGCCATAGTAACTTCCAGTCCCCAATGCAGTTGCATTTTGACCTGCTAAATCCTCTGCAATCGCAAACTCATCCTTTATAGAAGAAAACTCCACCTCTGTCTGATTACTGGCATTCATGGACCCGGATCGTGGTTCATTAGCATTGTCCTCGGCAACATCAGTTGGCTGTAGGAATGCCGTGTGGACATCCTGAATGTGCGCCTTGAGATCTTCATAAGATGGGGCTCGGAAGTCACAGCCGTCACACTGAAGCACCTCCATGATCTGGGTCTACCCTCTCACATTAGGAACCTGTGGCAGAAGTCGGAACAAACCATATTCATGAACATGGACCAATCGTATACCCCAGGCCAGCTGATGGGCCGCAAGTCCATTAAGTGTGTGTATGTGTGATGTCATTGACTTCGTAACTTCAAAGAAGTGGGGGATGGGGGGGTAAGCTTTTTCTTGTTTGATAATATCTTCAAATGTCATTTGTCAGGGAAATCCTTAATCTTTCCCAAAGTTTGAGTAATTTCTGAATTTCTCGACTGAATTCCAGTTTCTTGGTCTAAGGATACTGCCTTTGGTTCT